CTTTTCTTTTGGGCCACCAACCAGCTCCCACGTCATGACACAGAGACTTCTTAGTTATGAATGCTCGTCCTAGCAGTTGTGGCTAATCACGTGTTCACGTTTGTGCAGCCTTGCACTTCACGTCCCATGCACCATTCGGTGTGATTAAGTGAGAGGCTCCAGCATGGAGGTCCCAGAGGCAGTGTTGTGTCACTGCCACGCAATTGCCAGCATTTCCTCCCCCAGAGACACCTTCCGAGGCCTGCCTCCATGGCCGGGGGCTCCCTGTCTGTGCCTCTGCATCTTCTGCATTCGTCGCCTGTGACTGATTCTCCCCTCAGCAGTGTGCAGGCTGACCGTCCGGTCCTGGGCCACAGCCCCTCCGTGTATGTGTGCACACCACTGCCTGCTCACCCCTTCTTCTTTGTGGTGCCGGGGCAGCACCTCGGCCTCTTGCATGCCAGGCAAGCACTCCACCAAAGGCTGGCTGTTGGAGACAGGGTCTTACGTAGCCCAGTCTGACTTTAACCTCAAAGCAATCCTCCTGTTTCTACTTTCCAAGCTCTGGACTCACAGGCCTGTGCCGCCTCACCCACCGGCGTTGTTGAGACAGAGTTTCACTAAGTTGCTCTTGAACTTGTGGTCTTCCCGCCTCTACCTCCAAAGCAGCTGGGACTACAGAGGTGAGGCACCATGCTGGATACACTTTGATCTTTCTCATGGTAATGCAGTATCCCACTGGGGTGGAGGGGGTGGTAGGGAGGGTGGGGAGGGTGGGGAGGCTGGGGAGGCTGGTGCAGTTGTAGCCTCTTGTGACGGGCATTTAGAGTGTTCCCAGATCGCTGCTGCTATAGCCAGTTCCTTGTGTCCTTTGCAAATCCAGCTGCGAGAAACTTCTCACTGTAAAATGGCTGGGTCAGGGGTGTACAGCTGATACATGAGTATCATGTATGATATCGTACTATGAGTTGAAAGGCTCTGAAAAGAGCACCCACGAAGGTGACATGTCCCCACATCCTTGCCACCACATCTTATTCAAATAAATAAGTCCCCGGCATCAGTTTTGCAAGGTTCTACCTGATGGTGCTTTCAACTTCTGTTTTGTTGTTAGAGGCAGGATCTGGTTGTGTGGCTTGTTTTCTCCATTGCTTGTATTCCTCCCCTGCTTTTGTCCTGTTGTTTTCCTGTTGTTTGTCATTCTGAAATCACCATCTGTTCACAACTTTAGTCTGTGTATCTATTGCATTATCAATCAAATGTTATTGGTTCACAAGAGCTCTTTACATGTGGAGGAAAAAACAGCCTTTTTTTTTTTTTTTGACAGCATCACATCATGTCTTCCTAATTGCCCTGGAACTCACAGAGATCCACCTAGGATTAAAGGCACACACCGCCACCGCCCATCCTAGAAGCAGCCTCTGTGATCTGACTGCAGGCTGTACATGAATGTTGTTTCTTTTTATTTTTCTGTGCAGCAGTTTTTTGTAGCTGAGGATATTTTGCATGATTTGTATATTTTCTAGAACTCTTAGAAAGATTGCCAAGGGGGTCTAGAATCTCTGCCTGTTTGTGACCCAGCAGGGGAAGCAGACAGACATTCAGGTGGTTGTAGCTGGGGAAGGCCAGTGGCCTTTTGGGTTTGAGACAACTTCAGGGGATGATGTCCGAGCTGAGATGGGAGGAAGGGATGGGTCTTGCAGGCAGGGAGAGGGATGAAGAGCCCTTCCATTGGCTGGAAAGCTCCCAGTAGGCTGGGCACTGGGAGACGTTTAGTGGCTGCCATGTGCAGAGACAGAGGGAAGACATATGCAGCTCTCTCCCTGGGGAGAACAAGGCTCGCCTCATATACCCGTACGCCTCACATGGGTCCCCTGCCTTTAGGAGGAACCCAAGGCCTGGAAGGTCAGAGACAAGGTGAGAGACCATGGAGACCAGGGCCTTGTCCACAGGGTACGGGTAGACTGCAATGGACCAGAGATCAATAGAGAGGGGACCCAGAGCCTCCTGACAGGCTGGATGGAAGGGGAGAGAGAGCCGGCAGCAAACGTCTGGACCCCACCCATCCAGCTGTTCATCTGCCTCAGCCTCCCTGGGCCAAGTCCTGGCCTAGCATCGATGTCTCTCGTGGCTTGATTACCTAAAGGGCCCCTTGAGATGACTCAGACCAGCCACAGGCAGCCAGAGCCACTGCCAGACGGGCAGACTCCCACCCCGGGAGCCTGGGAGGTTGAGCACCCTGGCCCTGCCCCCAGGCTCCCATGGGAGCCGACACCAACAACGTGGGGTCCTCTTTTCCAAGTACCCCTCCTCCTGAGTGTCTGTCTCTTTTCCTCCCTCTCCCCCCCCCCCCCCCCCC